CAACATTCCTTCTGTTGCTCACTTTCTCTTGTTTATGCGGCTGGATTCCATATTGTGGCTTTTTTTCCTCCCTCCTCCACCTTTAATATTCAAGGCCCATTATTCACTTTCTAGCACGATTGGCAGGTGTTTCGGGTGTGGTGCCGTTTCACGATTTTATATTTGAGGACCTCCATCTCCGTCTTTAATCCTTGCTTTTTACTTCCCGTTGAAATCAGCGAGTGTCCAGCGTTCCCGAGCCACATGAGGAAAAGAACTTGTGTACTTAAATTATCTGTTATCTATTTAGCCAGCGACTGTAACTGTCTTTTTAGTCGTTTATGTACCATTTCATGCATCTCGATGTCTTCGTGTATGTCTCTATGTCTGATCGAGTCACTTGCATCTGTCATGGGCATATCCCTGTTGATAGTTCGGTTAGCTAAAAGAAAGATCCGCGCTTAAAATCTATTTTTCGATGAACACCTATGCAGATATTTGCAACAACTCCCCAACACAAAGTCATAGACTAAGCTCCTCAGGGCATGCCGCGTAGGATGTGTGATACTATCGATATCTAGGTCCTATTCTATCAGAGCAGTGGGCAGGCGTACTCCCAAAAATATGTTCTCCTACGATAAGTATGCGCCACCTTCAAACTCCGTCCAGGCTCAGCTATCACCAGCTACTGACTATTTATAACCCACGACAGCATCAAGACGTTAGCCCTCTTCTTTGCGCCGATCATAATACCCAAGGCCATCTCTCTCTTCCAATCAGTCTACTCACATCTTACGAACCGTCCGCCTCCTCAGGCTCTTCCTACACTCGCCTCCCGCGCGCTTAACATCCTCTTCTTCTCAACCGCCCTCTTCCTCGCCCTTAGCCTTACACCGGGTAGTAATATACTTTCCAGTACCAGCTCCGGCACAAATGATATCTTCAAACTGACAGGTTCGCGTTTCAATACGCCGACGGAGCTGCTCTTCTCTCGCCTGAGACGGCTTGGTGGACGGTTCGAGGTCGAAAGCGAACACGACTCAACACTCAAGAAACTGTTTAGCTCTCACACAGCAAGAGGAGTGTATCTGCAGCTCGGATCAGAGCCGCTGATTGCCTGTCCGTTTTGCTCGTTGGATAGCGCGGTTACTTACCTACTTTACTATCTACCCTTTAACACCCTAGTGCCCCATCTATTTCACTTTCTAGTTATTGGCATAGCGACTTCCAGCTCCATAGTAGGGGAGAAGACAGCCAGGTGGAGGAACAAGTTCCTCGTCGGCGCTGTGGCGCTTTTGGTTATTGAACTATGTGTTATCTTACGGGCAACGTCTCCTCTTTTCTCCCGCTTGAGGAGCTCGTCCGACGGTCAACGCAATAAGTGGACGCAACTATACGCTCAGTACCCAGATGCTCCAACGAGTCTACACGTTCAGCTGATCACACTGCGGCCTCTAGCATTTACTGTGTTTGACGCTATTTGCGCTGCCCTGATTTACTTGTCAGCTACCAATAGGCTCTTTTATACCCTACCCACGCCCGCGGAGCAGGCACAGCAGATTCTAACCCTGTCTACTGCGACCATGCTAGCTACCATGTCGAAGCTTCAGGCTCTTAGTGTGACAAGAAGCGTGATTGCACGGGATCCCGAGCTTAGTGCGAAGTATGATGCGTACCATCGTGGAGAAGGCAAAGACGGTGATGATTGGGTTTGGCAGGAAGAAGGGGTTATCAATGCTGTTGCGAAGGTGATGAACGATAGAGCCTTGCAAGCTGGTAATCGCACGGACGTAAAGGAGCACGAAATGATAGACTCGAGCGAATATGTGGATAAACTCACCGCTGGATTGGAGGATCCTATCATCAGTTGACATGGCCGGATCAAAGCTGTTGATTTACAATCATCTGCTATGTATATATTTTATCGATTAGACTGAATAATAATCGGAAAAATTGACCTGAGTGGAAGTAAATGGCTATTTAAACTAGTCTATTCCTTGTATATACATGTTGATACCAGGTCATTGTTTGAGAGTGGGCTCAATAGACGGCGTGGTATCAACTTCCACTACTGGTCCATCGTACACTCTCCGCGCATATGCAAGGTAATATACAATACTAAACACAATCACGAACGACCAAATCGCAACGCTGTAATTCATACCTTCTGGCGTCGGAGAAGCATCAGCGGGGAAGAAGCTGAATATCAGGATCACCGTCAGGTATATGCATCCCAATATATTTGTTGCAATCCCCATGGCACCACGGAGATGCCATTGCCCCCAAATAAGACGGGCATCGGTAGTATTGGCAAGAGTCCGGCCCATTCCCGTGTTACTAGAAGGATACGAGACGTTCCCTATGCATCGGTGGTACAGTAGCATGCTCGTAGCCAGCAAATAGCTGAGATATAAGCAAGCAACCGTCAAGGACACGATGATATTGAAAGCCGTCGTTGACCCGATAACTATGAGAGAGAGAAGGATAGTTATGGTAGCGGTGACGAGAATTGACATCAACGGCACTTCGGTACGTTTCTCAACCTGTGACACCCGGCGTTAGCATTGAAATATTTCCCCATAAAGTTCAGTAACACCCAATGAAATGTATATCATTATATGGACGGACCTTAATCAATGATCTCCAGCCTGGCAGGCCTCGATCTCTTGCAAACGACCAGGTCATACGGGATGTCGAAGCCAGGTAGTTACAGTTTGCAAACAGGGCTAACGTAACGATGACTGACGCCATTGTAGCAGAACCGGCAATTGAACCCGTAGATTGCCGGAAGATCTCAATGAACGGGAGTCCAGTTGGTGACTCTAGAGCAGCGGGCAAGTCAACTATGCTGAATAGAGTCGCGATGAGCATTGATAATCCCAGGCTCCCATTGATAACGAGAGTAAGGATAATGGAGCGTGGAACCGTGATGGATGGATTTTGGATCTCCTCGGACATCTATTGCAAGTGAGTAGATTGTAGCATACAATCAAGGCAAATCGAGCAAGACATACATGATATGCACCATCAAGTCCTATCAATATAGTCAGCAAAAATAGGATATATCAAAAAAGGCAGAGGACTGTGAACTGACCCAAGAACGCGAATGCATTCCCAATTAAACCAACCAAAAAGGAGACACCCTGACTGGACCAATTTCCCTCGTTGATGAAATTCTTGAATACCAGGTTTGCATCATTCTTTTCTCCAAATGTAACCAGTGGTATCAAAACTGCTAAAAATCCGAGAACATGAACAGCCAATGCTATCTTTTCAAACGCAGGCAATAACCTGCTGGTCACAACATTGACAAAGACGCAGTACAACGCTACGGCGCAGAGAAGCAGAGTGGTATGCCAGGAGCTAGGTGAGTAAGACGGGTTCGTAAAGATAATGAGTCCCTGGATCATAGAGCCGGTCAAGAAGCAAGCAGAAGCGAAACCGGCCTGCCATCCAGCCACAGTCAACCAGCCGGTAATGTAACTGAGAAATTTCGCCATTGACTTTGGTGCTAGCATCGCGACCCAATGGTACTGTCCGCCAGAGGTAGGTGCCATAGAGACGAGCTCAGAAAGGGTTGTGAAGACAGCCAGGTTTCCGGCCCATATCACTATGTAGCCATATATGATGCCTGCATGGCCGCCATTTCGAAGACCCGTAAGGAACAGGACTAGTGAAGCCTCCCAAGTAATGAGGACAGCACAGCTGAAGCCTAGGATAGAGAGAAAGCGGAAGCCTCTCTGGTTATTTATTAGAAATGCTGTATATATATATTATATTTATGACCTGTTTCATTTATATCAAACACGCACTCTGAGCACTTGTTTCTTGCCTAAACGATTGAGCTCTTCACGATCGGAATCTCCAGCCAGCGACTCGCCATCATGTTCGAGCCGCATAGATGTGGCCGTTCTTATATCTTTGGTCGAAGGCGGAAGTTTATTGAGGGGCTGAGGCTGAAAATGTAAGTCCGAAAATGTTGGCGTGAAATCCGTACTAAAAGATGGCCTGCATGCGTAGTTAACACTGTTTGTTCATGTTTATTTAAATATGTTTTAATCGCCAAAATTGGGTTTTCTAGACTAGGGCTAGTTGACCCGACAGGGCGACATCTGGGCGCTGAAGAATGCTCGGAAACACATGCGCAAATTAGGAGCAAGATCCGAGCTTAGCAGCCGTGTATCTCCAATCTCAGCAGATTGCCAGTGGTCGAAGATCTTCCTGGCGTTCGTATAAATTACTTAAGTGACTAACCAAGTACTTAAATTCTGGGGCCGTTGCCGTGGCTCTAACGACGGAGGTCTTGGTCTTTCTTTGCTTGCTCGTGGCGAACAAATGGGCTGTATCCGGAGTATTCCGACGAAAGGGAACTATATCCTGCAAGCTGGAGTGTCAATGCATGTCAATGGTGAAAAATCCATGGGTATAGCGATGCTGCTGAACCTTTAAAAAGAGGTTTACTGCTGGGATGCAGTCTGTAACTAAGCTGATCGTTGGCTATAGCGTGGTTGTGGTGTGCTGCATCCATCCCTGAAGCTTACCATCCATGGCGACTATACATGTGTACAGCCTCTCATCGCCCTCGTCTCCAGCCTGTCTCTTCTTCCTTTGTCTGCGCTCGTCGTCATCATCATCATCACCATCATCAACATCAACTTCTCCTTCTTTATCATCGTCAATATCTTAAATACCTTCGTCGTGGTCGTCGTTTTTCTGCCCGCGTCCCCCGTCTCCGCCTTCTTACTAATCCATGACTCAGCAGTGCACGTGGTCCCGCCCAAAAAGGAGACGGGAAGCCGTTTCATGGACGCGGGATGGAAAAGCGACGACGGCGAGCTCGAGCAAGAGAAACGCCAGCAGGACGACGACGACGACGAGACGACGAGGCGGAGCGGACGAAGAGACTCCCAGCGACTTCATCTCCTGCTCTTCCACCGCCTGGCGCTGCTGTCGCCGTGCTGGCCGAGCCTGCGACACCGCTTTATAGTAATTAAGGTAGGAAGTTACAAAAACCCTGCCCTGGTTAACTAGTCCCTAGTCTGACCCAAAGAGAAAAAAGAGGACAGAGGATAGAGAGCATACACGCCATCACCAAATCACATTCGCCCCTTTGCCCCCCTTCGCTGCAGCCAAAAAGAGATTTCAGTCACTCGACTGGTCTCAATCTCTCTCTCTTTCTCTCTTACCCCTTGGTCGAGGACAGCATCCATTTGGGGCGTGTGGAACTGCAAAAGAGCCGAATTTATAGCTTGAATGCGATCCTCCTCCAGTTAACCTTTCCACACCAGCACCACCTCAACCGCCCCCGGTGCACCGTCCCCAACAACTCTGCCCTGCCGAACCAAGCGACCGAGGCCAGTGAAGGGAGTGAACAATGGCTAAGGAGGCTGTCACCGCAGTCGCTGAACGGGGCCAGACTGGGATAACCAACGTCAATGCCTGTGTGTCGACTACCGAGGCCAGCAGGGCGTCCAAGGATAACGCTTCCTGGCGAGAATGGGTGGTTGCAAACCAGATAGGTGTGTGAAAAACACAATTGCAAGCTTCACCTTCTCTATATCCGTGCCCTTACTGACTTACTGCTGCTTAGGCTGCTCGCTCTCGATTCTCGGTGCGATACTCGCCGTACACACTTTCGTTCCATCTCTCAGGGCATACACGACTCCATACCTCGAGTTGCCTCACTATCACCCCGAGACTGGAAAGTACACGCAGGGGCTGGATGATGTCTACTTCATCATCAGCTCCATGCTGGGCTTTACAGCTACCAGAGCCATTGTTATTGACTGGCTGTTTTACCCCATTGCTTCTCAATTGGGCCTGAGAAACAAGCAATCTATACGCTTTGCCGAGCAGGGATGGCTTTTGGTCTACTACCTTGCCTTCTGGGCCTATGGAATGGTTAGCTACCTTACTGCCATTTTTTTTTCTTTGTTTCACTTATTGTTGTCCCTGCTAACGGCACCAGAACATCTGGTATCATTCTAGCTACTGGTACAATTTCCGTGCTATATGGGCCGACTGGCCTACCCGAGAGATTAACGGCAGCGTCAAATTGTACTGTCTTCTGCAGCTATCTTTTTGGGTACAGCAGATATTCGTCATTCACATTGAAGCCAAGCGCAAGGATCACGCGCAGATGTTTATCCACCATATCATCACCAGCACCCTCCTCGGATCCGCATATGTTTATAGCTTCTACAACGTCGCAAACGTTGTTCTCTGCCTTATGGATATCGTTGATTATATGCTACCGGTATGTATCTTGGTTTTGCTTTCAGTTTTGCGGCACGGCACATCTCAAGCTAACAATAAAGTAACAGTTCGCCAAAATGCTAAAATACCTTGGATTCGAACGCGCCTGTACAGTTGCCTTCGGTGTCTTCGTCACAACCTGGATCGTTGCTCGCCATTTCATCTACATGGGCCTGTGGTGGTCCATTCACCAAACGGTACCCACTGACGTCCCGTTCGGGTGCTACTCTGGTATCACAGGCAAGCAGTTATCAACCGGCTCGCCTGATCTCCTATTCCATATCTTCAACCCGTTTCTCGACCTCAATGGCCCAATCTGTATGACTGGCACCATCAAGGTCATCTTCCTTGGAATGTTGCTGCTCTTACAAGTTCTCTCACTCATCTGGCTTGGTATGATCATCAAAGTAGCGCTGGGCGTTTTGTGGACTGGCTCAAGTGCAGAGGATACAAGAAGTGATGACGAGGAAGACGTTGACGCTAGTGAGCCGAAGGAAAAGGCCGGCACCTCTTCGGCAAGAATCATGGGCCCACCATCTGGCTCAGAAGGCAGCGCCTGGTCGCGATCAGTCATGCCCAATGGCTCGAACCACCAGAGCCACCCGGTGCGGATAAGAACGACCCGTGGACGAGTTACGTTAAGTGACCATAATGATCGAAAAGCCCTCCTTGGTAGGATTGGCTGCGACAAGCCAACATAGATTTGAGAATGGAACCAAAATCATGTCGTTTTGTTCTCACCCATAGACATCTCGCAGCTTGATTACCATTTTCATTGCCCCCTTCCACGTCGATCTTCCCATCTACGTTTGGTTTTCATTTTTCTTTTCTCCAAGTGCCTTTTTCGTTTTATCAGGTTTGATTTTGTGTCGAGATGCTTCCCTCCCTGCTGGTAACGGTGGCAGTAACGGTGACGGTGACTGGCATGTCTTGAAAGAACTTCCCATCATTATCCTTCCTATACCCCATAAATACGCCCGGTTAAAGCCCTTTTTTTAATATATCCCTCCTTTTCTTCTCTTTTTTCCTGTCAAAAACAAAAGAATATATCCCGTCGTTGCATCTGCTCATTCTTTTCTCAATTTTTGTTTTACCGGTCATGCCTGCTTACACACACGAAACCGTTCGTTTTTTCTCTCTCAAAAATCGAGAGAATGAGATTCTGATTGGCAATAAATACCTTGTGCCTCACTACGATATCTTGATGGTTATCCTGTTTGCTTCCGTTCTTTGCTCCGCCTTCTACAGCCCGTTGTCAATATCGCCATCTTCACTTATCGCCTCCCATTTTTTCCATGGAGAATAGAAACGCCGGATACAGGTCAACGACCTCCCTTACGTCTATATGTTTGTTTCCCATTCCTATACCAACGCCATGGTCTAAGTCCGCATGTATGTCCTGTCTTCCCTTGCATGTTCCCTTGGTGCTTTAAACACTGCATATTATACCCGGGATAATCTGATTTAATGAACGGCACATTCTAAGGCGCGTCCGCATCTATTACCATTATATATAATATCTCTCCTTTCGTATTGACAAGTCGTTGGCTGAATGTGTGTTTTGTGGCCATTTGATACGACCAGGGGAGTCGTGAGTAGTGACGTAATTAACCTTGTGTAGGATACTTTAGGGCTGAACATGGCTATTGTCCTTATTTTGACGAAGGTTGGGTCGGGCCTTGGGAAGCCGCAGGGGCTTGCCGGCCGGTTCCTTGGTCCTGGGACTCTTAGGCAGCAGGCCCCTAGACTCAGGGGCCAGAGGTCTGTGTGACTTGTAACTGGGTGCCTGAGGTGTGAGGGATGCTGGATGAACTGATTGGAATAAATAAAATAATTCTGATTTCTTTTGAATTGATTCCTCTTGATATCGCTACTTTCGTCGGGTCACAGAACGCTGCACATAGAAAACATGAGAAGGCAAATGAGGAGAAGAAGATAACAAATACAGGCTACAGCTATTTGCATTGTTAAGTCACATCCCCGTCTTTCCGGTTTTATGCCTTTGCTTTCTTCACCTTCTTCGGCTTTTCTTCCACCTTCTTGACCTTCAAGGCATTCTTTGATTGTTTCTCGTCTTTGGTGGGTTTCTCAGAGATAGCGGGAGCGTCATTCACGGCCTTCTTAGGTTTCTTCGACTCCTTCTCAGTGGACTTCTTTTCGGCTTCGACGTTCCCAGCTTCGGGTCTTTTCTCCTTGGCCGCCTTTCCATTCGTCACAGGTTTAGCTTCAACTTCTTCACCTTTGCTCTTTGACTCTTTTTTTTTGGGAGTTTCCTCTTTCTTGTCCTCAACCTCAGCAACGGGAGCAGACGTGCCCTCCTCAATCTGGTCTTGCACTGCTAGTGCAACAGGGACCTCCCTCACAGACTTCAACTTTGGAATCTCATACTCGTAGCCTAGAGCTTTCATCTTTTCGGCCTTCTTAGCTCGTTTCGACTTCTCCTTAGAAATAGCCTTTGACCATCCTTCGCGTGACTTTCCAGCATCAAGTCGGCGCTTTTCAATTTGGTTCCATGGCGTCTTCTTGAAGCGACGGTTGGCTCCCTTCCACATATCCGCATGAACCTTGTCCGTGGGTATGTACATGCATTTCAAGATGTGGCCGAACATAAGGTAGTTTTGCATAGTAGCAGCAACAACTTTTGCGACAGAGGAGGATGTGAATTCAATGAATGCATAGTGTTTCGATTTGCCGGTAGTACGGTTGCGCGAGAGGCGCAGGCGTGAGATGTCTCCAAACTGGGAGAAATATGCGCGCATCTCATCTTCATAGAAACCGTGTGGGATTCGCCTACATCGTACACACGAGTTAGCTGTATTTCAATAGGAGTGAAGCAAAGTCTGAGCGCAATAAAACATACCCAACGTATACAGTGCCAGGCTCTTCTGGTGCAGAGCTCTCTTTCTTCTTCTTTCGAATAGCCTTCATGGCCTTCTTAGAGTCAGGAATCTTTGGCACCTCTTGACCTGGCTCAAAGCCTTCGTCTTCTGAGGGATCCTCATCCCCGCTGCTCTCAAACCCTCGAATCAATGCAAGGGTTTGGTCATCTTCGGCCTCCTTATCCGAGTCAGCATCAGAATCGGGAGAAAACGGCTTTTCTACAAGCTCGGGAGCTTCTTCAGGCTCCTTCTCGACCTCCTTGGCTTTGGATTTGGCCTTCTTTATCTTTTCCTTTGACTCGGCACTGACACCAAGCTTTTCGGATTTGGCTTTCTTCTTTGGTTGCATTTCCTTCTTTTCAGCCTTAGGCTTAGGAGCTATCTCCTGCTTTGGCCCTTCTTCTTCATCGTCGCTAAGGAAGTCTGCGGCGCGTTTGCGGGGCTTCGATTCCTTCGTGGGCTTCTTGTCGACTTTGACAGAGAGTTTCTCGGATTTGGCACCATCAACAGTGTCCTTTTCTTTCTTAGGCTTAATGCTGGAAGTTTTCACTGTAGCCGCCTCCGGCTTTGCATGCTTTTCCTGAGTTTTCTTGGACTTTTTCGATGGTGGATGTTCGCTCACCGCAGGAGCAGCGGTGGTCGTCGCGGGCGCTATATAACCACATTAGAACGCGTCAACGTGAAATTTCGAGTCATAAGCAAATTACTAACCTTTGCGCTTGGTGGCCTTCTTCTCTGGAGCCATCTTGGAGTCTGGTTGTAGTCAATTGTTGCGCGGTAAAAGAATTGTGAACTCCTGGCATGTTTCTTATTTTTTTTTTTTTTTTATCTTTTTTTCTTTTGCGTTGTGGATCGGCGCCAAGATTTCGAGCTCCTCCGCGAAATTGATAACAGCAGCGCAAAACCCTTTTGAAGCTCTACTGGCTCGACGGTGCAGCTCGGTCCTCTCAGTATAGCGATATACTTGACACAACTGCTTCGAGGTGAGAGCCATGAAGAAGAGAAAACGTTCTAGCAAAAACAAAACTCTAACTCAAGAAGAAATATGGGACGATTCGGCACTCCTTGAGTCTTGGGAAGAGGCTGCGGAAGAGTACAGGGTACGTGTATCTCTTTCTATCAAATGTTGCTGTATCGATGAGAACCTTCTAACTCCTTTTCTTCTTCGTTTTAGCTCTATCACAGCATTCAAGCTAGAGGGCAGAAAGTGGAGGATGTTCTCCGCGAAGCAGAAGCAGAAGCGTCCAACGCAAATGAAGATGAAATGCAGATTGAGACCAACGCTGAAACGAAAAACCCTTCAGAAAAGTCGACTGTTAATGCATCAGAGACCGTTGTCGTGGAAGATTCAGATAGCAAGATAAAGCAGGTAGATGTCTGCGCAACAAGTCAAGTTGAGGTTGGTTTTTCCCCCGTTAAGAGACATACCCTGGTTTTAGGCCTAATTATTCACTAACGACTCCCCTATAGGATGAAGCAGCACCAGAATTAGCTGCAGAGGCAGACCAGACCGATACGGCCGCGCCATCAAGTGCGAATTTGGCGAATATGCCGCAACTAGTTCTTAACGGAGCACCTAATCCGCCAAATAGTGAGTATACTGATAGCCGAAGCAACCATACACGCTTTCTCGAAGACTAACATCGAATATAGTTCAAGATGAAGGGCTGAAGAACCTCATGATGTCGTGGTATTTTGCCGGTTACTACACAGGACTATACGAAGGCCAACGACAGGCTGCTGCAAAACAGTGATACTGGCTCGGATTTATCAACGGCTCAGGTATTTGCATGAGATTTGCCAGAGATTCTGCCCACCTCTGGCCGTGGGGACAATAGGAGCGTAACTAGGGAGTATAATGAGGGTCAATTGATTTTTTACATTTGCCTAAATAAAGCAGGATAGTAGCTGGGTTGGTGAGATGTATCTAACTCTATTTGACACGCCTCAGCCCTATGAAACAAACTACGTTAATAGAATGATTGAAAGGCGGGCGCAACACGAGCGAGACAAGTTGATAACTTTTTCGGTTGATATTGGCAATATTTTTGACCTCGCTGCGCGAACGCAGAACCCATCATGGAGAGGACGGACGAGACTTCGATTATGCCGTGCTGCAAGCTTTTTTCGCTGCTGTAACGTAGACGTGTGAATTGTGTCCGAGAGTTAGCGAGCATATTAGCCTGCAAGTAGGTACATATGGTATAAAAATAGGGGTTAAATCGATTTTGGGTTGAGGCGAGACGATATAGCGGAGATACAGTCGCATGTACCCAGGCGATATGAAGCCGTCTTCATCCAAGGTCCAGGGCAAGCATTATTCCAACTGGCCCGTCGATGTTTCTTATCTCGGGTATTGCTTCAGTATGATAGTGATATTGATATTGCTAAGATAGTTAGTTGAACAGCACCTAGGCAGTGAAGACTTGATGTATGCCAAAGCGAAGCTCATCAGGCGCCCTGGAGGTGAAAGCCGAGCTTGCACTGGCGGATGAGTATTAGAACAGGCAGAATGAGCTCTATCTGGGTCTCATATTACAAATTTGTAGAGGTAATGGATGCGTGTACCGTTCGACAAGGGCATAGAGACCGTGAAATATGTTTGATGAAGGAAACGAAGAAAAAAAAGAAGCAGAAAAGTCGAAAGTTGAAGTTGAAAGTGTGGCGCTAGCGTTATTTGGGTTAGATAGTACAAGCCAGATTGCGCTCGCTCCGCTCGCTGTGGAAAGAAATATTTGCTACTTTCTATTGGAATACGAATTAGCTGTTGATTAGGTATCTCTATTGGCTAAGAAATATGTTTCAATTTGTGCCCGCCCATTCAACCAATCAACGCCACGTATTCCTTACAACGGGGCGGTGTTAATTGGTTGTCTGGACGGGCCAGTCAGCTTTCTTTCATGAAAATTATGATTGGTTACATTCTACGTAATGAATGTTGTGGGAGCGGAAATGGATATTTTACAGTCACGTGCCAGTGAAAATTTACGAACATAGTATTTTATTATATTAGGGGGACATGAGGGGGATAGGGGGATTATGTAATTCACATCATATCACGTGCAATATACTTCAGGGTCAAGCCTCCATTTTCTGGAGCTTGAAGCCTGCCGTGGTGGCACAGACAAGTATAGATAGATATACGGGAAACTTCAAGATCAGTCTCAAGAATATTCTTTTTTCCTTCTGGAAGATCTCTCGAGGTTTCAGGAGGTGGATGGCGGCGTGACGTCTTATCTCTGTGTGTCTGCCAGGTCCTACGTCGTAAGTGTATTTTTGACTTTGTAGTGAGTAGACATGTAACCGTGGACATATTGCTTGGATTTGGATACAAGGCTGTGATGCACAAGATATTTTAGGGTTGGAGGTTGAGTTCCAGTGGAAAGGTATCTCAAGAATAATAATTGAAACATTCGTAAAATGTAGTACTACATGGTTAAGGCTTGGGAGTTTTAAGTTATCTGACGATAGGAAAGGGGAGATAGTGCCATTGGTATGTTGGTGGCACAGACATCCTCTTAGCATAATCATATACTCTGATATAAGAGCTGGTATGAGCCAGCAAGCCGAGGAAGATAAAGAAATGAATTATATGCATTGGGGTATAGAGTATATCAGAGGAAACCAAGGGCAGTGTAGATCGAAGCGTCTAAAAACGGGCTAGGACCTTCTCTTGGGTGTCTCCCATAGCCCAATCGCTGCGGTTTTCCTTGCTGAGCACCCTTGCCGCTTGTTCAGCCGTGAATCCCTTTGCTTCAACGGCAGGATTGTACCCAAGCTGATTAATCTTCCCTACTTCTTCATTTGCTACAGGCTGCGATACCTTGCCATCTGCCCGCTTATACACAGTAACGACGACGGCCCCGCCAAGGCCAAGATTATGCTGCAATCCGACATCAGTGCCCTTGACCAACCGGTTGTTGGCCCATCCACGAAGATGCCAGACTAGCTCTGCACATTGGGCAATTCCAGTTGCGCCGAGAGGGTGGCCCTTTGAAATCAGGCCGCCGGATGGGTTTATGACCATCTTCCCGCCGTATGTGATGTCGCCCTTTCGCACCATCTCGTGGGCCTTTCCTGGCTCGCAAAGTTCCAGGGCATCGATGGTGATCATTTCATTCGCTGAGAAACAGTCATGTAGTTCGCAGACCTTGACGTCCTTGACGTTAATTCCGGCTTCGGCAGCTGCGGTCTTGCAGGCGTAGCGAGTCATTTCGAAGCCCATGAGACTTATGGAGCTTTCGTTGTATACTGAGGGAGTGTCTGTTGCGAGGCATTGGCCGGCAATCAGGATGGCCTGGTCCTTGAGGTGTGGTCGAGCATCGAGGAATGCTTGTGAGACGACTACGGCTGCAGCACCACCGTCTGAAGTTGGGCAGCACTGGAGTTTGGTTAAGGGGAAGTGGATCATGGGGGATTTAGAGATTTGTTCGTGGGTGTACTCGGTTTGGAATTGGGAGTATGGGTTTCGCTTCGAGTGTTCGTGGTTAATTCGGCCGATCTCTGCAAAGTCCTCGGCTTTTGCGCCGTATCTATTTGTTTGTGCTTGTTAGAATTATTATTATTATTTTAAACCCTAGGTAAGAAAACTGTCAAGGTATCTCACTTCTCGATGTATTCGACACCAGCATTTCCAAACATCTGGGCTGCTCCCGGCGCATTGGTGACTCCTCTGGTAGCAAACATCATTTCGCCCAATTTACCAGTAGGGTTCTCCCTGTCATCGAACTTGGAAGAGAGACTACCGGGGCTCATCTTCTCAAAGCCAACAACGAGAACGCAGTCGGCAGCACCGTGGGAGACCATGGTGCGGGCCATGGCCAGGCCCGTTGAACCGGTAGAGCAGTTGTTATTGACATTATAGATGGGAATCTTGGTTAGGCCGAACTGGTAGAAGACTCGCTGGCCGCAGGTGCTGTCTCCGTAGCAGTAGCATGCAACTCCCTGGTCCACGTCGTCGTAGGTGATGTGGGCGTCCAGCATAGCCTTGACACCAGCCTCAAAGCCTAGCTCATGATAGTCGACCTTTCCGCGCGGTTTGATGAACTTGGTCATGCCAACGCCTAGGACGTAGGCTGGCGACTGTGTTCGTTTCCCCATATTTGCAAAGACGTCAGAGGACGTTCTGGCTCAATTCTTAGTATAAGGTCGTCCAAAAAAGCACCAGCTCCGGTCGTCAAGCTTCAAATCCGCCGCAAAGAGGAGAGGCACGCCCCGTATTTAATCCCCTTCCTCGTCTGCTCTGTCTTTGCCCCCTGACTCTCCTCAAGCTTGCTGCCTCCCATCAGATCTTGCGGGGAACGTCCCGAGGTCCGCGAGGTCCCGAGGCTCGACGGCTGCTGACATAAGCATCTCTCTCCCATTTGACTGAGAGAAAGCAGTAAACAAGGAGCAGCAGCAGCGCCGACGACGACGAGGCGACGACCATCGTTGCTGGAATAACGTCCAGGGCAGCAGAAGTGCAGCTGGAGATCCTCAGGCTCCCCTTGGCTAGAGTCTCGGGCCAGCCATTGATTGACCATCTAACTAGTCATGCTGTGGCAACCTGCTCGAGGCACGGATAGAGATATATATGGCGTTGGGCTGCCCATTGCGGCCGGCATGACTGCCTAAGTCAACAAAACTTCCTAGCGAGAGAGGCACTCCAGGACACCCCCGTCCATCCAGGTCGTGATCGTCTTCTGCTGCTGCAAGGTGAAAAAGAAAAGAAGAAAGCTTCGTGAGACTGCCGGAGAAGATGCTGGGTGGTCCGCCTACGGATGCCAGTAACCATCTTGCAAGTCACTCCGTAGTATGGAGAGGGCAGCACTTCAGACGATAGACTAGGCAGTTCGCCGGAAGGGCGAAGTCAGTGGCCGGCCGTTCTGTCTGGATCCCTAGCCGTAGTTAAGTGTGTCTAGGTCGCATAACTAACTGGCGACATGTACCGAATACTTCGAGAACTCGGCAGGTTCTTCTGCAGCAGGCTTATGTGCCACCAGGCGCCTGTCTTGTGTCGCCCAAGCAGAGCAACCCCCGGCGCAACAAAGTAACTAAGTACACCGCCAGCGAGGCCCCTCCCCGGCCCAGTGTAAGTGCAGTTGGCCTGTCCGCCATTGGCTCGGTGGTGGATGATGGGCTGGCAGTAAGAAAAAGAGCAAAAGCCAAAGGCGCCCTTGACGACGTCACTGGTCAGACCATGGCTGGCGGTGCGTTTGGCTGAAGTCCCCTCGACCTTGGGCCTGGTGGCCGCTCCCATATCACAGCGCGGTAGACGGTACAACTTGAGATACATAACTAAGTAGTCAACGAACGACGGGTTAGTTCAACTGCCTGCGCGAGCTCGATCGCCCCAAAGGTTCACATGTAGTTGACTCTCCACGTTAGCCACACGCCTTCGACCTTCTCGTCCCTCTGCCTGTCCCCCGGTGATGGCCAGCTAACGGAATATCGTTAGTGCGCTCGATCATGGCCGTCGACCCTTGGATCTAGGTTGGGCTAAGTTGACTGGTTGGTTGGCTGGTTGAGCGGAAGCTCGCTGCTGCTGCTGCTGCTGCTTCGACAAACCGCATCTCCGTCCTGCTTCTCACTCTCTCCCGCCTGCTCGCCCTTCGCCCTCACCCTTGCTGCTGCTGGCTGCAGAGAGAGGCTCCAGGCTGCTCTGTCCGACTGCTCTTCTTCCCTCTCGCTGTCGGCCATCTCTCTCGCTGTCTCTCACGACCTTTTCCCGCAAGTCGACTCTGCCGTCCGGCTGTCTGGCTGCCAACTTCCTCCTCCTCCTCCTCCTCCCCCCGCCATCTTGAGATACCGTTGAGGGATACGCAGCGGGCTTCCATTGCTCCTGGTTCTGGGCCTCTCCCGCTGCATTTTCCATATATTCCTGCCATATTATTGAAGAGGAATGATCCCTGCTGGCTCCAATTAGCAGCTGCTGTTTATATTACAGTTGGACCGGCCTCTGTGCTCTCCTATAAATATAAATATATCGGTCATATCACCCGCCCTTGCATAGTATATTCCTAATATTCACTTCCCTCCTTTGATATATTCACTTACAATTTCACTTATCACTCATATATATATATATATATCTCTATACCACCGCAGCTCTTCTTCCTTTTGAGAGTCTGCCATTGATTTATGTTTATATAGGCCTTTCCTTTCCACTTGCTTCCCCTTCCTTACCTTGCACTGCCTTCTGAACCTATATCCCTGAATACACGCTGTGGCGGTGGCCCAGTAGCAGGCTTAAGGTACTGGGATATTCCAAAGAAAAATCAAGAGCCTCCCCTCCAGCGGATCCAGAGACATTTAAGGCAGGGCCATAAAGAGAGAGGATAAACCACCCAGGATCCCAAAGTGCTGGTTAGGTCAAACTGCCCAGCAAGGACCCATGGACACCTGTGGGACGCTAAGAGGTCTGCTCACACATCTGCTGAGAGACCACTTTGCGTTCCATAGGTCTCTGCGGGCAACGGCCTGAGCCAGTCAGTGTGCTGTCTGCTATCAGTGTCAAGTATCAGTAAAAGTGTCCAGTGTGTGTCAGTGTCAGTTACAGTGACAGTGACAGTGCTAGCAACTGCCAACCGCCGCTTATGTCGTCCTCACAGGAGGATGCTGGACATGTAACTGCCCTCTCAGCACCGGTCTCAGCATCCTCCCTGCAACCTCCGGCAGCCACCGTGAGCTCTCCAGAGACAGCTGCAACCGAGATGCCGCCGTGGGCCATCCCCTTTGACACGCCGGCCAGGAACCGCTTCCTCAAGGACTACCGGATCCAGGCGGCCTCTGCGACCTCGACCATCCTCGCCTGCCTGGCCGTGGTGAGTCTCCCCTGCTTGGTTGTTGGCAGACGCCTCAAGAGTATGAACTCATGGCTAACTCGTATACTAGACCCCACTGGAGAATGTGAAGACTCGACTCCAGTCGTGAGTACCTGTTTCTTCCTCTATATAAGGTTATACCAATGGATCTATACTGACGTGGCTGTGCTAGATACAACTTCAAGGGGACAACTGACTGCCTTCGGTACATGCTCAAACATGAAGGACCACGCGGTTTTATGGCTGGTAAGATGGCTGTTTTCACGCTCAAGAAAAAAGAAGAAGACTGTCTAACTCGTGTGGACCCAGGCGCATTACCACCACTGGCGAGTCTAACCATAGTCAGAGTCACCAATTTCACCGTCTACCAGAAGTGCAAGCATGGCATCTCCGACTTTGTGGAAAGACAGACGGGAACATCTCCATTAGCCGTATACAACACTCCAGGTTCCCTTCCTACTTTCACCGGTGTCTCCTGTTTCATGGCCTCTGGGATGCTGGCCGGTCTCTGTGCTGCGCCTATCGCATGTGCGTTTATCCTTTTACATAAATACTTACCACTGGTTGTAACTACGATAATAACAGGAAACAGGTCCCTTCGAACTCGCCAAAAACGTGGTTCAGACATCTGTTCTCATGGCAAGCAGCCAGCGTGGACCGACGGGAAAGGGTCTCAAGTATACCTCTCTTCAAAACGTTCCACGTCTATCGACTATCCAGGCCATCAAACAAATCATCTCTCGTCATGGCTTCAGCGGTCTGTACACTGGAATGGGTCTCCATGTGGCACGAGACACAGTTGGCACTGGGCTCTATTTTGCCGTCTACGAAACATCAAAGCAGCTGACGTCAAAGTACCTGGGTGACAACCATTCTCCATTCGGGCCCCAGTTGGTTGGTGGTGCACTCTGCGGAACCCTCCCATGGCTATTTGTAAGTGTCCAATACTCTATATTCATATATATATATATACATATATACACGCGTAAATTGTCTAGTTGGGTTAAACTAATGTCCGTATCTCCAGACGTACCCCCTTGATACCCGCAAAACTCGCCGACAGAGTATGATACTTGGTCAATCCAAAGAAGTGGGAGCCGCCGTGGCCAAGAATTCCGTCTATACCGGTCTATCCGTCATCATCCTTCGCACGGCTGTGCAGAACATGCTCCTTCTGACCATGTTCGAGTATTTCAAGAGAGAGATCGATAAACTGGAAGTTTGATCCATTTCAATTCCAACCCAACCCGCCGTCTTTTTTCACCTTGGATGGTGCTTACTTCTCTGACTTGCTTCCTTTTCCGAGTTATTCACTACGGGGCTGTTCTACTTTTATATCCCCAGCTTGATCTTGGTTTCGATCTTGGGCGATTGCTATATCTCTCTTCACTTCCACCCTTGTTCATATCTCCTTTGCTCAAGTATAACGGCGATGCCAGAGGCTTTGTCATTGCGTTTCT